TTTGTTGGCTTGGAAAGCCCTCGAAACAAGCTTTCCGAAAAGTCCAAGATCACTGAAAACGGAGTTTAGAGTAAAAAGTTATGGCTTTTTTCCGTATGGCAACTTGTGTTGTCCTGAAGACCCACGGAGGTTCTGCCCGTTTACGTGGAGGCTCCGCACCTATGCGCGGAGGTTCCAGGCTCTGTAGGTCATAATGGCTAGTTTTTTACCTTCAACGGCTAGTTTTTGTGGGGTGAGTATATATACCCATCCCATGTCTCCTAGCCATGCTGCTGGATCCCTAAACATTCTAAACCCATTCCAAGCCTTGTGTAAGCTCTCCCAACCTCTCTTTTTGTGAGAGTGAAGTGCTTAGTGATTGATTAAGTGTTGGAAGTGAGAGATTAAGAGTTTGAGAGCAAACCAAACCTTGAGCACTTGTTGGGCTGCGTCAAACATACGTTCGCATTCGTTACTCTTGGAGGTGAAGCCTCCTACATGGCTAGGCGTCGCCCGGTGAGCTCCCATGCATGTGGTGAGCCATAGGAAAGTTTGTATTACCTGGAGATCTTAGTGGAACCCTCAAGCTCAACCTCGGTGTTGGACTTGAGAAGAGGATAGGGTTGGAAGAGACCCAAAGCCTTTGTGGCTTCGTCAACAACGTGGACATAGGCAAGCCTTGGTGGCGAGCTGAACCACAGGATAAATCGTGTCTTGTCCCTTATATTTTGAATTACATTATTTATGTTCCACTCAATCTACTTGGTTGTGTGTGTTTGTGAGTGTAGGGACTTCGTGGACTTGCCACTGGACATCACCAAGCACGTCATCAAGAAGTTAGGTTTGAGTTTGATGTCTAGGCGTAGCAGCTGTTGAGTATTCTGTGTTGCCCGGAGGCTCCACAACATCCCCCGGAGGTTCCCCGTCCCAGAGGTTCCGCACAGTTTCCCGGAGGTTCCGCGGTCTGCTAATCCGCTGCAAGTTTTATCTGTTGATAATTTTTTGAAATGCCTATTCACCCCCCCCTCTAGGCGACATCAAGGTCCTTTCGGAGGGGTGAATAGCCTATTTAAAAAATCTACAAACCAACTAGAACAATTTGATTAGTATGATAAATAGAGAAATGTAAATTTGCTCTAACTCTATAAGGGTTGTAAGCCCCTATCCAACAATTCTAGTTACTATGATCCTAGGCACACAATTTGCTAAGTTACTACTCACTAAGAACTCACACACTTGCTACACTAAAGAGCTCCACTAGATGTACTTAAACTACAAAGCAAGCTCTCAATCCTAGCTACACTAAAGAGCTTGCTACAACTAGTTTACAGGAATGTAAATGAGTGAGTAAGGTGATTATACCACCGCGTAGAGGAGTAAATCAATCACAAGATGTATACCAATTCAATCATCGGGAGAATACCAAAGCGCAAGAGACAACTAATTTTTCTTCTGGGGTTCATGTGCTTGCCGACACGCTAGTCCCCGTTGTGTTGACCAACACTTGGTGGTTCGGCGGCTAAGAGGTGTTGCACAAGCCTCATCCACACAATTTGACATCGCAAGAACCTACCCACAAGTGAGGTAACTCAATGACACGAGCAATCCACTAGAGTTACCTTTTGGCGCTCTGCCAGGGAAGGCACAAGACCCTCACAATCACCAGGAGATGGCCACGAACAATCACCAACTCGTGCCAATCATCCTTCGTTGCTCTAAGCCATCGAGGTGGCGGCAACCACCAAGAGTAACAAGAAATCAGCAATCACAACGATCCCCAAGTGCCACTAGATGCAATCACTCAAGCAAATACACTTTGAATCACTCAATCTCACTTTGAATTAGCAATCAAGCAAGAGAGATGAGTGGGAGGGAGTTTGCTCAGCCCACAAAGATCTCAAAGATGTCAAATGGCCAAGAGAGAGACCTTGGAGCTGACCCCCAACTATTTATAGACGTCCCCAAACGAATAGAGTTGTTAGGCTCTCACTGCTGCTTTTCACGGGGCGACCGAACGCGCTAGTCGGTTTGACCAGACGTAGCCACCTCAGCGTCCGGTCGCTAGATCGCTGCCACGTGTTAACGCTTTGAACCAAAGCCGTCTGATCTCAATGGTCGTTTCCCGATCACACGCGCTGTTAATGATTGACCGGACGCACCACTCGCGCCACCTGACGCAGAAGACTTCGGCGTCCGATCATTTCCAGAGACGGTCTAGAGCGGGAAAGCAAGGGCCGGACGCTTCAGGTCAACATCGACCTGACGCACCCCAGCGTTCGGTCAGCTCTTAGCTGCTACGCACCCGCCTGCTGACCTGACGTCACCGTACGTCACTGCCGACCTGACGTGGCCCCTGCGCGCCCGGTCACGCGAAGCCGTCGCCTCTCAACAACTAATCGGACGCGTCGGTCGAGCCAGCCCCAGTGTCCGATCGCTTCTCTTCACTCTCGGCCAGCCACCGCTCCCGCGCTATAAATGACCGGACTCAGGGTCCAGCGTCCGGTCAGACCGACGCTAGCGTTCGGTCACTGCTGCGTCCTCCTTTTTCCTTTTCTAAGTCCGCAACCACTTCACCCTTCTTCTAACTTGCTAACCACAAAGTGTAGAACTTATATGCACGTGTGTTAACATTTTTTAAGGCATTTTACAAGGGTCAAACTTAGCACACTAGGTTTCTGAATGCATATGCAAAAGTCATGTCACCTAGTGGCACTCGATAAACCGTTTAGCCAAATATTTCTCCTCTTTATAGTACGGCTATCGATCCTAAGTCACTTACACCCTCTATGTTGTCTTGAGCGCAATGACGGAGCGTGAAGGAAATTCAAGAAGAGGCTAATAGTGTTAAACTTTTCTCTAATGTGCAAATATCTAATACTTATTGAGTATCATCCTTTAGCATCCTTATAAGAAATTTCAATCCTCAAGGGGGGGACCCACTATGGCCTACATGTGGCTCCGCCATTGCTTGAGTGTAAAACAAAAACATATTGTATACCTTTGCCTTCTTTCTCGGTTTTTGTTTTTCTCTTTCTTCTTTCCCAAGTTGAGCTTGATCATCTTCATTTCATGTCCACCTCCATCACCATAGACCTCATCTTGCTCAATCACTTAGATTGGACCATCTTTTCTAATTCACACACTTAAATCAAATGTTAGTTCTAGGTTTCATCAATTATCCAAAACTAAATTAGGGCTTTAACACCCTACCCAAAAAGTGGCTGTGGTTTATCTATCTCCGGCACGCACATTATGCAAAAAAAAAACACGATCGAACAACTCATACAACATAACTAACGACAACGAGCAACTAAGAAAAACACTACCGCCTCTAACCAAATGTATCACCTGACAAATCACCTAGAACAACTGTCTATGCTGTCGCTGCTGATATGCGGCTTGTTTTTCTTGTTCGCAACTCTTATTCATCGTTGCTAAGGTTAGGAGCGAATGAAGTCCATTAGCCTCGCAAGGAAACTAATTAAGTGCCTGAACTAATGAAATATAGAGGGATTAAGAACCCTAACATATAATGAAAGGAGAGATATTTTTAGAAGAAAAAAAAGGTTCAGTGAGCTATGCAAGGAAACTAATCAATTGGAAGTGTGTAATTAAAAACCATGTGCTAGGAACCTGAAGCGACGCATAAGCTCTAAATAAAATTACGCAAAACCTTCGCTTTCTACTGTCTATATAATTGACAACCTCCCTCCAATAGCTCCCCCTCCTACCTTTGGCAGATAATCAATTATGAGCTTATGACATATCGGTCTATCACTTATGTCAATGTTCGTAATGGCGCCTCTGCTTCCTTTTGGTTTGATCATTGGCTCCCTAAAGGCCCCCTCTATGCTACTCATTCTGCTCTTTTTTTCTCACACCATTAGGCCTAATGTCTCGGTTCAGGAAGTTTTTCAAGCGGGGGTTTGATTTTCGTCTCCGGTCCAGGCTAACTAATGCTGTTGCGGGCCAGCTAGCAGACCTTCTTTCGTGCTTGCAGGGGATCAATCTTAGTGACGAAGCTGACGATCGGCGCCTGAAGCTAACCGGCAAAGTGTTCACTACTAAGGCAGCGTATGCAGCACTGGACAACCAGTCTGACTCGCCTGATCCCAACGGACATCGGATATGGAGCACACGGGTGCCGACCAAGGTCAAGATATTTGCGTGGCTCTACTTCAAAGACAGATTGAGCACGCGTGCTAACCTCTTTGCTAAGCATGTTTTGGATGACAACATTTGTCAACGGTGCTCCAATCACGTCGAAGATCGTTGGCATGTCTTCTTTGGCTGCACTTCGAGTTCTGAGCTTTGGCAGAAGCTTCAGTTAAGCAACATCGCTGGGCTGACTGACGACGAAGTCTGGACTGGATGTGCCCTCCCTCACTTAGATGCTATACTTTATGGCCGTTTGTGCTCCTCGCTTTGCTGTGGCGTGTCTGGGATGCCAGGAATGGAAAGGTCTTCAGGAACCAAACATCATCGAGCCGTAGCATTATTTCCAGAGTGTGTGATGATCTCATCGTATGGCAAAAGCGATTGAAAAATGATAGTGATGTAACAAACCTTAAACTTTGGCGCCTTCATCTCGTCTTGTAACTCTTCCACAAGCTCAGCGCTTTGACTGAAGTTTGTGTTTTTAATACATAATTGTAGGTGGGGAACCCCCCCCCACACACATCGTCTTCACCACACACATACATACATTCATATATATATATATATATATATATATATATATATATATATATATAACATGAACAAACAAGAATTCTCAAAACTTCGATTCTTATTGATTATCTTATTTGATTTTCCTTGCAATACTCCGCCACTAGCTACAATCACACACAAATAACCTGCATCTGTCCACCCCCCCCGAACTCCTCCCTGTGTTTCTATCATCCCAATTCCCTCCATCTCCCTCTCTCTACGTACAGCACCTAGATGGACGCCAACAGAACACGGTACAAGTACTGAAGTACATACTGACAGAGAACGATGGTTCTCGCTCACTGGCGGCCTCACCGGAGGCTGTTGACGAAGGCGAGGAGCGAGTCGACGTCCCTCTTCTCCGACGGGTACTTGATGGGCCTGGCTGTGCGGCTCGGGAACAGGAGCACGGTGGGGAAGCTCTGCAGCTGCAGCTCGGCCTGCGCGAACGGCTTCTGCTCGCCGTCGGCGCGGAACTTGGCCACCTTGACGCCGGACCCCGCCAGCTTCTCGGCTAGCTCCACGTAGGAGGCCTCCATGGCCTGGCAGAAGGGGCACCAGGGCGCGTACAGCACTACGAGCCACGGCTCGGCGCGGTTCTCCAGGCGCAGCAGGTTCTCGATCCCGGCGCGGGTGAGGGAAACGACGGCGGGGCTCTCGAAGATGTCCGGGGCGCCCGCCGAGCCGTTGCCGTTGGCGGACCTGGGCGCCGCCGCCTGGGCGTCCTTGTCGATGTTGCCCTTGTGGAGGCCGCACTCCTTGGCCTTGGCGTCCTCCCACCACCACCGGCCTTCCCGCTCGTGCTGCCCCGGCAGGACGGGCCTGGTGCACGGCTCGCACCCGATGGACACGTAGCCCTGCAGAGAGAACACGGACACGGCAGGTGAGAGACTGTCGTCAACAATCGCTTCCACATTTGGATCGGAAACAGTTGATCTTAAGAACGAATCGATCGAAGCTGTGCTGCAACTGCAAAATTAGGCAAAGAAGTTACTACCTGAGCATGCAGGGTGTTGACAGGGACGTCCATGGTCCGCAGAAACGTCCAGATGTCCTTGCCGTCGACGTTGGCCACGGGGTTCCACTTGATCAAGCTACCAGCTCCGCCATCCAGGCCTTCGAAGGAAGGATCGACCTGAACCAGGGGGATGCTGGCCCTGGTGCCGGGGGACTGGTCCTTCCTCTGGCCGGTGATCCAGGCCCTGAGCCCCTTGAGCGCCCTGCGCAGGGGCCGCACCTTGCGCACCCGGCAGCACTCCTGGTGCCCGTCCTCGTAGAAGGAGAAGAGGCCCTTGGTGCGCACCAGCTCCTGCACCTCGCTGGCGTCCGGGAACATGTACTCGATGCGGATGCCGTAGTGCTTCTCCACCTTGTCGAAGAACTGGTACGTCTCCGGGTTGAGCCGCCCCGTGTCCAGGCTGAACACCCGGAACGGACGCCCCGTCAGCTTCGCGTACTCGATCAGCGCCACGTCCTCCGCGCCGCTGCACACACGAGACGAGGAGGATTGACGACGTCAGTTAAAGCTAGAGGTTTGCCCGTCTTCTGATGTCATCGTACTACATCGTATGAAGCTATCCGAACCGATTCATACGTAGTACTCCTATGAGACACACGCATCCATGTCATGGCTGAAAGATTAGCATCCTAGAGTGATTAACAAGGTGGTGGTTGCCTACACGACGAGTCCAGCCTGCGTATTATACTTTGTCGTCTGCTCTTGAAGCTGCACTAAAACAGCACAGCTCCACGAGGAAATCATAGTATTGTGCCACTATCAGTTTTGGAATTAGGACGATGTGGCTTTTCTGGTTTCGTCTGATAGTCAAACACATGGGTTGTTCGGTTGCGCGTGGGTGGTGGGCCGTGATTCTAGCTCTGGTGTCTGGTCGAACACCAGGTTCAATGAACCTAGACGCCTCATGCTTGGCTCACTTGTCAAGATACATTGCCATGTGCAGCAAAGGGGCCTTCGCTAAACATCTATTTGCTCGGCTCTAAATTATAAATCGCTTTAATTTTTTTTACATCTATTTTATTATGAATCTACATATATGTTTGTATACATAGCAACATAGATGAAAAAAAAAGTCAAAATGACTAATAATTTGGAACGGAGCGAGTAAACCTGACTGGATTTGAGCATCTGAGGACCATAAACATTTGACTACTAGTAGTCCCATACTTTTTCAGAGGCAGACAGGTGGGACCGATAGTCCAGTGGCCAGCCCAGGAATCTCCACGGCCACACGTTCAGCATACCCGATGCAGATCGCCGCACCTAAACCCATTCCACAAGGGCCAACGGTAACGGAGGCTAACGGGCACGGGGTAACGAGTACCCGAATCCGTGACGACTCACGAGTGGCACGAGAGAGAGGAACGTTGTGCTCACCTGAAGGCGATGGCGATTTCGGAGCCGAACATGGCCAGCGCCCGATCCATGATCTCCAGCGGCGACGCGCCCTCCAGCTCACGCGCCAGGGCCTCGTAGTCCACCGCCGCAAGGGCCGCCGCCTCGTCGGCCACGGGCGCGGCCGGCGCCGCCGCTGCTGCGGAGGCCGCCACCGGCTGCCTCGCGGGCTCCGCCGCGCGCAGCGGGCGCACCGCGCGAGCGCGCTGGCCACGCGCCGCCGCCGGGGCCACGCCCACCTGCTGCCTCAGCGCGCCAATCCTCGCAGCTGCGCGGCCAAAAGATAGAGAGAAATGAATGTTAGGCCGGTTCCAAGGATGCCCTTCGAATGCGGGTGAATTCTGATGTGAAGCCGCGCATTTCACTAGCTAAACCGTCGAATTCGAGCAAAAATTCTTCAAAACAAAACCCACAGAAATTAAAGCCAAGCGCATCAAGAACCAAAGGAAGCCTCTCTCACCTTTGACGTCGCGGAGGGCGGCAGGGTGCGACGAGATGGAGGTGGTAGCGGAAGCCATGGAAGCTCTCTGGGGCTTTCGAAATTAAATTCGCTGCGGTAAGCGTTTGATTCTCTGGAGCGAATTTGTGTTTGGCACCTGCGTTTTTTCTGTGGCGTAGGGTGGAAGCGGGCGGGTGGTTTACATATAGGTCGGGCGGGAGGCTGGGTTCATCGAACCTGGACGGGTTTCGGGAGCGGCTGCGGGCAGCCTAAAGGGACACGTGGCGGTTTCCGATTGGCAGAGCGCACGGGAGGCTTCCTGGCCGATCGAAGCAGTGGCGTCATAGAAGAGGCCCGGCCTGTGCCGAGTGGGCGCCACACGGCAGTTGGTCGTGGCGCAGTGGTGATGAGTTGGCTGGCTGTGTGGCTGCCTCACGCTCGTTTGCCGCCTCGCTGAGATCCATCCATCCGCCGCCGTCGAGCTCAGAAAAGAGGAGTGGAGGATGAGGAGAAAGGAAAGCAGGAAGCAGTGGGGGGTACTTGGGTCTGACCGGAGACAAGAGACCAACGCCGGCCAAGCCTCCGGCGTGGAGGCGGCAGACTCAGATCCTCTTTGGCGCGTCTGTATTTTTTTCAAAAAGTGATGAAATTAGAAAATAACTATGTTTTGGTGACTTTGGTTTATGAACAAAAAGAGCTTCGGATTCACTGTTTTTAGGTTCGTTAAACCATTCTCTTGCACACATTTCGTACAGCTTTTAATTAAGGTAATGGAGAAACTCTAATAAAAATCTTGTCAGGAAATGAATTTATATCGATGTGCGTAGTTTATCAAGTACAATAGGAGCAATAGACCAAGGAGATGGTGTAAAGTTGTACATAATGGTAGACCTAGGGTCCAGCGACCCTAGGTGCCCGCCCGAACTCCAACGCCTGTGTACGGTGATATATTTGTCACACGCTCTATTGTAATGTGGTGATGCAACCTTAAAAATACACGGTCTCATGGCTGGCTTTGGTCCGCCCGAGTTGCCTTCACACCCTAGGTCCGCTACTGGTTGGACGCTATAAATAAAATCATTTGTCATATATACCATAATGTTCTATAGGCGCCTCATATACTCGAGCTACCAGTGTGTCTCAATTTCTCAAGGTCAAACATATTTGAAATTCTGTCTCCTCAACTCGTACTGTGCTACGGACCGAATTTTCCTGCGAGCCACACCGCCTGCCGCCGGTGCATGCATCCTTATCCGCCGCACAGAAGATCCCAACATGATCTCTTCTGCTCGCCGCACTTACGTACAGTCTGACGACAATAAGGTCACTAATCACGCGACGACTCTCCCCGACCCCTGTCGTCAGTGCCGTCACGCAGCAGAAAATAAACCCGGGCCGCGTTTAGTTCGCTGCCGAATCGGCGTTTGTACAGTGTGACGGCGAACACGGTACCAATTTCGTTTGTATTGAATAATAATTATTTAAACATTAACTAATTAGGCTTAAAATGTTCGTCTCGCAAAGTACAATCAAATTGTGCAATTAGTTTTTTATTTCGTCTACATTTAATACTCCATGCATGTACCGCAAGTTTGATGTGACGGAAAATCTTCTTTTTGTATAGTGCCAAAAATCTGGGGACTAAGGCCTTGTTTAGATGCCATCCAAATTCCAAGTTTTTTCTCTCTCTCCATTACATCAATTTTTAGCCGCTTGTATGGAGTATTAAATGTAGGTAAAAAAATAACTAATTACACAGTTTAGTTGGAAATCACGAGATGAATCTTTTGAGCCGTGTTGGTCTACGATTAGACAATATTTACCAAATAAGACAAAAGTAGTACTATTTATCGGGTTAAAAAGATTTGCAAAGTGAACAAGGCGTAAACATGGCCCCGGCAGCAAGATTCGTCGCGTCTGCGCGCCGCGAGCCTTTCCGCCGGAGACCCGGGTGGACTGTGGACGTGGACGTGCGCTGCCGTCAATGCCTACTCGTACTCGGCAGCTCGCCGTTGCCTCGAAGAATCCAAAGCCTGGGTGCACATTACGTTGAGACAGCACCAGATTCATTCCCGATTGGCGTGGACGCGAGAAAACGGCAAAGCGAGATGCGCAGCGGGCGATAAAGGGGAATAATGATAGATAAATTATTGAACCTGGCGGCTGATTTGCAGGTGGCTCCTGGTTCTGGCCTGGGGGCAGGCAGATCCTTTTGGGGGTCAAAAGCTCGCCACAAGGGTCGCTTTACTATTTACGCAGTGAGTGGTTCCGTTCGTCTTTTGCGAACACGTAGCTTTCATGACGATCAAGAACGGGAACGTGGACGCGAGAAAGCGGCAAAGCGAGATGCGCAGCGGGAGATAAAGGGGAATAATCTGTACCACTAAAAATTAGCGCTGGGAATCGTCGACCGACGTGCGATAAAAATTAGCGATGGGAATCGTCGACCGACGTGCGATAAAAATTAGCGATGGGAATCGTTGACCGACGTGCGATACTCGCTCGCTTTCCCCGCACGCGCGTGATTTCCTCCCTGCTCTCTTCCCCGCCGCTCACGATCTCCTCCTGAAATTACGCAGATCTTGTCCACCGATCCAATCATGTACAAAGAAAATCGCCTCCACTCACATATAAAAGATCTGCGGCATCCTTTCCCATCGCTCCAATCAAGTACACAGGAAGCAGCCCTCGCCGTCGCTCGCCCACGCCACCGCCGTGCCGACGAGGAGAAGGCCCGACGACGAATCACCGAAAAGCAGAGCTCGACCTCGCCCGCCGTCGCTCTCACCGTCGCACTTGCCTTCGTCGAGCACCACGTCCGCACTCGCTGACGCCGCCACCGCAACGCCGTGCCGAGAAGGAGAAGGCCCGACCATGGAGAGCTCGACCTCGCCGTGCGCGCCCGCTCTGTTGTCCTTGCCCCGCCCCGAGCCCCCAATCCACGGCGACGGATCGCCGACAAGGAGAAGGACCGCCGAGGTTCGCGCCCACGCCATCGTCCTCGCTCCGCGCACTCGCCCACACCGCCGCCTCCTCTCCCTCCCTGTCACGCCGCCGTCGCCTCCAGATTCGATTGACGTAGCAGTGCTGGGCACTAGGTGCCCGCACCCAAGGCCCAACGCGACGCGCTCGACGCCGCCATCAAGGAGCTCGTTGATCTGGCCATCCAAAGGTACAGTGTCTCTGATTTTCTCGCCACTTCTGAAATGCAGCAGTATCAAGTTGACTTTACAATTCTAGCTCTTTATGTGGTGCAAATCTGAAACAACCTGCTGAATGTTCAAGGTGAAAGTGAAACAATACAAAAGAACACAGATTGATCTATTCTTGGTGATGGTGAGATCTTTAGGTAATGGTGAAATGATATGGCCTTTTGTACCATATGTTCTGCGTGCATTGTGTGCATACTGGTCCTTACAACATAATATGTGGCATGCTCTTTGCAGTAGTTATTTTCCTGTTGACAAAATATGTATGTTGTCTTACTGATCACTTATAAATACATGGAATTATGCCATATAAATACATGGATTTATTGATTTTGAGCAGTCCTCATTTTTTTTTAATTTTGTTGTGCTTCTTTTTCTTTAACACAATCTATCTGTTTAATCAATGCCTCTATTCACTGCTCACTGTCTGGCAATTGGTATGCAGAGACACAAACAAAACGAAATATAAAGGAGGAAAAAGATCTCAATTCAGTATAGATTTAGGACCACGTGTATGCAGTTGCAGGCACATAGTTCAAAGTAGAGTTTGTAAGCCTATGACGCCGCGCTCTTCGTGACTGTTAATTTCATAAACTTTACTTTTTGGATTAACGGTAACTTTAACGTTGATATTTAATTTTTACAAAGGTTCGTGCACATGCGTTGCTACGGGATAGTTAACATTTTATACTAAAAGCATACGGATCGCACGATAAGATAATAATACTATAAAATTAAATACCAACGTTAATGTGACATTTAATCATCGCTCGCCTTTGCTCCATTCGTGTGAAACAAAACCTTGACCGCTCACTTTAACTTTGGTATTTAATTTCATAAATTTTGCTTTTTGGATTAAATATCACTTTAACGTTGGTATTTCATTTTACAGTATTGTTATCTTACCGTGCGATCTGTGTGCTTTTAGTATAAAATGTTAACTATCCCGTAGCAACGCACAGGCACGAACCCAGTGATAGATAAATTATTGAACCTGGCGGCTGTTTTGCAGGTGGCTCCTGGTTCTGGCCTAGGGGCAGGCAGATCCTTTTGGGGGTCAAAAGCTCGCCACAAGGGTCGCTTTACTATTTACGTAGTGAGTGGTTCCATTCGTCTTTTGCGAACACGTAGCTTTCATGACAATCAAGAACGGGAAATCATCGAGAAGAAGTTGCACCGGAATGGAAACTCTAGGGCAGTACTATTCTTTGTCCTCCGAGTTTTTGTTTGGATGCAAGATCTAACATATTGAGGCGGGTCATCCACCATTTTTCGTTTTCCTCTGCTATTTGATGTTATAAATCTTTATGATTTTCTTTATAAATATATAGAATGACTTATAATTTGAGAAGAGAAAGTACTATTCAAGGACGAAAAAATGTTAGAGACGGAGGAATGCGTTGATGGGAATGGGTCGACCCGGCCCTGACCTTGGACCTGGCCCCGTGGCCTTAAGGCCAATTTTAGAGCTCATGGGTCGACCCATTTCCCCTAGATGCTATGGTCTTGATGGCCCATTGCGTAGTATGGGTCGGTGTCGACAAAAGATGCTCGGCAGTCCACCGAGGGGTATCCCACGATGGTAGATTTATCGTTGGGGGTGCACGTAATCAGAAACCATATGGTGACACAAGGATCAGAGACAGCGATTTAGACAGGTTTGGGCCGTCTGATCGACGTAATACCCTATGTCCTATGTCTTTGTTGTATTGTATTGAATATGAGATGCATGTAGATGTCAACTAGGGGACCCCTGCCTCTCCTTATATACTCTAGAGGGGTAGGGTTACAAGAAAAGTATCCTATCTTACGGTGCACGTCGACCAGTGCCGTACACGCCTTGATCTTGTGGGCTGGGCCACCTCTTATG